AAAAAAAGAGAAATCAATAAAGGAGCAAATTGACATACCTTCAATGTCTCCTTCGATGCACAATTGTTGAACTTGTTGAAAAGATGGTAATATTTGATTTTGATATCGTGCGTGAACTGCTTCACAGCGGGTGGTATTGGCAATGGCGTTGCCACAGGTAACGGCTTCCGACAGTATACTGAAAATTGAGCCTCTTGGTTTAAAAACTCAATTTGTATAAATGATATTTGACGATTTTTTTTGACAAAGAAGTTTTTGTTTTATCGACAAGTAGGTCGTATATTATCTTTATATTAAGTTACATCATAACATAATTTTGCATTTTGAATTTCTTCCATACTGTTTGTAACACCTGAAAAATCTCTCTCGCTAATTACGCTTATCAGTCTAATAATATGACTCTGTTGATGGTTTCTCAGTGTGAAGTCTCACTAATGTGAATTGAAAAAAAAAGTTACTCTACAGAGCTGTGAACACATGCTTTCTACAATATCAGCAATAAATAAGGGGATTACGTGCAGAGCTGTGTGCGAGTGGAAGCTGTCACATTGTCAAGACGGAGCCCAGAGGACAGGGAAGATATGGTACTGAAACAGGCTTGAATGCTCGTGACGTCTTGGGTAAAATTTCCACAACCAGGAGTGCCTACAGAATAAACAAGCAAGCAAACAAAAAAACATATAAATAGATAAATAAATGAATAAGATCACATGTAAAATGTTTACAATTTGAACATTTAGTTGTAAGATATCTGACTGTTTTGGTATTCTTAAAGCTTCTGAACCTCAAGCATTTAAAATAGGCACAACAATAATCTTCATTTTCAGTATGAGAATCGTTCTTTCCAGAAATGTTACCACGTGTATATTAGGGTAAATGTACGCTTGCATGCTAGGATAATAACTCCCATTAAGGGGATTAAAAGACGTCGTTAGTCATTTTTAAAATAGAGTCACTCTGTTGATCTCTGGTAGTTCCACCAAACCATCATGACACATAGGAAAATACCGGTACATACTGTTGTTGACAGGTGCGCCGGCAGGGGACTGGTTTCCTTGGCAGAGGGACCTAATTTGTACAGATATCTGTGCCAGCTGGTTCACCGTGGACAGTTTCTCCACTACCCAGCCATTTTCTGTCTGAACCTTTTCAAAGGCCGCGGAATCACAATTGGCTAGCGCCTCTCGCAGACAGACATCGGCTTCGAGTACCACTGTTGCTTCCCTGAATTAATTTTGGATAGTCTTACATCATGAATAAAAGGATACACTACGCTTTTTTTTCTTTTTAGGAACCATGGAAAAATGACATGAGAAGACAAATAAAACAGAAAGTCGAAAGAATGATACATTTAAGCTGTCCGAATTGTCAAATTTAGCCCTTTTTAACACTAGGCGTTTGATAACTTAATACCTGATGTACAGGTTACATTGGTTTAGATCCAACAGGCACCACACAACACGTCTATTCAACAACGGAAAGCTAAATAAATTACCCGCCACAAGTACTAAAAGCAGTTAAGTACTTGTGTGTGTGTGTGTTTGTATTCAAACAGTGATGTCTGTTGAGTCAGGGTGGATTGTGGATCATCACTTGAGAGAAGACAAACGGTCAACATAAGGGACGTACGCTGTTTTCTTTTCTTTTTTTTTTACGGATGGAAACGTCGAAATCATTTCGAGGGTAGTGTCCACAAATCCATTATCATTCTTACAAAACAGAAAATGTTCTCACGCATTACAAGTCTGAGATAAAAAAAAAAAAGAAGTGAATGATGAAGAAACAACTTTTCCTCCTCAAATTCCTTTACCCGATAACATCTTTTATCTAATGGCGCAGTTGTTGAGTCAAGAATGCGTCATTCTGTGAGACTATCATAATCAACTTACCCGCAAATGACATCGGCAGCGACCCCGTTACCATTAGCCATACTCAGAATGAGATCGGCGTTAAATCTTGGAGTTCCAATATCAGCCGGCGGCCAGTAATCCAACATACACTGGACAGCTATTGTGGTGTTACAACAGTATCCCACTTGAATGCCTATACAGGCAAACACCACTGAAATTGGTGTGACAACAAGGCTATAATTCTAACAATTAGAGTGATAAAATGAAAAAATTGGTCAGCCTGGAAATACTGAAAAGGGGATTGAGACACGAAAATAAATGGACTTTAAAAATGCAAAATTCAGTGGAATATTTTATACTGTATTGCATGTTAAGATAACTGATCCGTCATTTTACCTCGTTCATTTGTTCAAACGCAAAAACAGGCTTCTGGGAAGAAATCAAAGTGTAATTTACATACACCTTTTACCTCAACACAAGGTAAAATAACTACATAAATAACGACTTTCTAGTATCTAATGCCGTATAAAAAGATATCTTATTTTAAAAATCTGTTGCCAGCCTTTTGGCCGCCACGTATATTTCCCATACCCAAGTGGCAGCCACCGTGAGAAAACAGATTCATCCATTGATTTTCATCACAACCGAATTTCGTAGGTGCTCATTTTTTTGTTAGAAAGCAAATGTAGCAATTTAGTAAAAGTTGCTTGAATAAATTATGTTCATCAAACTCACCTGTTGAAATAAAGAGAGAAGCAGTTGCCATTTTTGCCTGAAATACAAACCAGTCTACAGAGAGTGCTAAATCCACTTCTTCTCGCAGCGGCAGGTAAATATGTATTAAAAAGATAAAGGATTGTTCTTTTTTTTGGAAAATATTCCTTTCATCACGACACTGGAACATTAGGCGGAAACTGTTGCATGCGTATTATAACTACATGATTTTGCACTCTTTAAGATAGGGCAATAAAACTTAATAGGTGGACTAGACAGTTAAATTAAGTGATGACCGTTGAAGAAAGGGTGGACAGGAACGGTCCAGGACACGGGTCAACACACTCACTCTGTTAAACCATGGAAGTACGTTGTGATAGGAAGAAGTTTTCAACGCTATGAGGGTGAATTGGTAGGCAGCCCTGTGAACGTCAATGTTTGACCTCGTTAGTATACAGAACGTCTAATGAGTCCACGTCACGTAATAGCGAACACTAACTGCGTTGTTCTATGGTTTGATAATGAGTAAAACTAGAATTCGTGAATATTTTGTCAAAACACAGTGGTGTTCTCTGCTAAGATTAACTGAATGTTTGAAAAAATATCCAGCCTGCTATAACTGCCTTAAATATCATTTAAGGCTGTCATACCGGCGGGTCATCAGGTGTGTGTGTGTGTGGAGTGTGTATTATGATAATTCGCCTTTACAGGCTCAACCCAGTGAATCAATACAATTAACATAACCAGGAATTCCTTATCATTCAGTTAGTCTGACATTTTCTGGATTAAAAAAGCCTACGCGAGATTGCACGCGAACCACCGGCAGAAATAGTACGCATTCAGAAATTAACAAAGTGTCCGTTTGTGTGGTATGGATAGTAGCATCTTCAATAGTTTTACATGTACTGTAGGATATCCAGTCAATCGTTCTATTTCGATTAGATCAAGGCTTTAATTTTTATTTGCATGCTGCCTGTCATTAGTCGGCTAACACTTGACAATATGGATAACAGGTTCGGTGAAAGTGAGTCACACAAAATTAGTGCCCTTCATAATATTTAGAACACACTCTACTTCTGCTTTCTGTGAAAACTGAATCTAACAGCTCAGATTCATCATAACATTTCAATGTGTAACACGTTTATAAAACTTGTCTTTCCCAAATGATTGCTTCTTCTCAAGTAAATATAAAATATTGGGTGAGCAATAGTTCCAAAAATCTAAATTTACCTCGTAATGCCCATAGCACAAAAAGCTATCGGATGGGGTGTAAACTTGTTTGGGATGTACAAAGGAAATGTGCAGAAATGATTCTTATCAATTATGTTGGTTGCGACAGTTGTGATAAGGTACAATGTGTGGGCAAAATTAGGCTGAAACAGCCTTGAGTAAATTATAGGGGAAAAAAAAACTCAATAAATTTACATCCTTTGAGGCTAACTCTCTGGTAGGTTTGTGAAGCAAAATATATGTAAGAAAACACATTGTTTTATAAAAGACAAATGTGAATATTTATTAATGAAAAGTATGATGTTACTTTATGAAAATGCATTGGTAATACATTCTTGATAATATATACAGAAATGTTACTTGAGAGCATGTAGGTCATGGAATCTGAATCCAGTCAAAGATGGAATTAAGAATCCAATGAAGTTATGAACACGAAGGTTGTATATGACCTGGACACATTTCAAATGGACATGACCTCTTTGGTTGTTTTTGTAATGCTCACTCTACAGATTTCAATGTGTCTGCAAAATTTCACAAAACACTGTCTTTACAGCCAGACCTCCAAAATTATGTCAAATCCCTCTCTGGAAACTGCATGATGAACCATTTTAATCCAATGACCACTCCTCTCATACAGCTTATGAAGCTGCTTCCATGTGTAATCCACGTAACACAGTCTGTAGTAAGGTCTTATACAGGTTACTTCTCAAGTGGAGCATAGTTCAATAGTTTTTCAATCAGATCAACATGAGACAGCAACATCCTACGGCAGCAATATCTCTTCAGGCCCAGTGCATCAANACTCACTCTGTTAAACCATGGAAGTACGTTGTGATAGGAAGAAGTTTTCAACGCTATGAGGGTGAATTGGTAGGCAGCCCTGTGAACGTCAATGTTTGACCTCGTTAGTATACAGAACGTCTAATGAGTCCACGTCACGTAATAGCGAACACTAACTGCGTTGTTCTATGGTTTGATAATGAGTAAAACTAGAATTCGTGAATATTTTGTCAAAACACAGTGGTGTTCTCTGCTAAGATTAACTGAATGTTTGAAAAAATATCCAGCCTGCTATAACTGCCTTAAATATCATTTAAGGCTGTCATACCGGCGGGTCATCAGGTGTGTGTGTGTGTGGAGTGTGTATTATGATAATTCGCCTTTACAGGCTCAACCCAGTGAATCAATACAATTAACATAACCAGGAATTCCTTATCATTCAGTTAGTCTGACATTTTCTGGATTAAAAAAGCCTACGCGAGATTGCACGCGAACCACCGGCAGAAATAGTACGCATTCAGAAATTAACAAAGTGTCCGTTTGTGTGGTATGGATAGTAGCATCTTCAATAGTTTTACATGTACTGTAGGATATCCAGTCAATCGTTCTATTTCGATTAGATCAAGGCTTTAATTTTTATTTGCATGCTGCCTGTCATTAGTCGGCTAACACTTGACAATATGGATAACAGGTTCGGTGAAAGTGAGTCACACAAAATTAGTGCCCTTCATAATATTTAGAACACACTCTACTTCTGCTTTCTGTGAAAACTGAATCTAACAGCTCAGATTCATCATAACATTTCAATGTGTAACACGTTTATAAAACTTGTCTTTCCCAAATGATTGCTTCTTCTCAAGTAAATATAAAATATTGGGTGAGCAATAGTTCCAAAAATCTAAATTTACCTCGTAATGCCCATAGCACAAAAAGCTATCGGATGGGGTGTAAACTTGTTTGGGATGTACAAAGGAAATGTGCAGAAATGATTCTTATCAATTATGTTGGTTGCGACAGTTGTGATAAGGTACAATGTGTGGGCAAAATTAGGCTGAAACAGCCTTGAGTAAATTATAGGGGAAAAAAAAACTCAATAAATTTACATCCTTTGAGGCTAACTCTCTGGTAGGTTTGTGAAGCAAAATATATGTAAGAAAACACATTGTTTTATAAAAGACAAATGTGAATATTTATTAATGAAAAGTATGATGTTACTTTATGAAAATGCATTGGTAATACATTCTTGATAATATATACAGAAATGTTACTTGAGAGCATGTAGGTCATGGAATCTGAATCCAGTCAAAGATGGAATTAAGAATCCAATGAAGTTATGAACACGAAGGTTGTATATGACCTGGACACATTTCAAATGGACATGACCTCTTTGGTTGTTTTTGTAATGCTCACTCTACAGATTTCAATGTGTCTGCAAAATTTCACAAAACACTGTCTTTACAGCCAGACCTCCAAAATTATGTCAAATCCCTCTCTGGAAACTGCATGATGAACCATTTTAATCCAATGACCACTCCTCTCATACAGCTTATGAAGCTGCTTCCATGTGTAATCCACGTAACACAGTCTGTAGTAAGGTCTTATACAGGTTACTTCTCAAGTGGAGCATAGTTCAATAGTTTTTCAATCAGATCAACATGAGACAGCAACATCCTACGGCAGCAATATCTCTTCAGGCCCAGTGCATCAAGAGCATCCCTAAGAAATAAATAAGTGAAAATAATAACAACACAGCTGACACATCAATGACAGTATTTTTTTAAACACTGCATGTCCACCTTCTCTAGCTTGGAAAAGAAGTGTTATCATTTCCCTATTTCTTTAGGTATATGAGAGGGCACAATCAATATTATTATTACTATTATTATTAAAATTTGCTAGATATTAAAACCATGATAAATGCCCATAATATAAATTAAAACAGATTACTGAAATAAAAGTTTTATTTCAAAGGTCCCATTGCCATTCCTTTACAAATAAAATAGTTACCCTTCAGTGTATTCAGCCTGCAGTAGACCGAGGTAGGCTTCCCACTTGTTGCCAATTACTTTCCCACAAGTGAAACACCGGATTGGAATAATCATCTTTACTTTTTACCTGAAAAGCCGAACAAAACAAACATCATTTCTAGCACCGACTAATCAATTTTTTCCAGCGTGCACAGTCATGTTATTTGTTAAACAAGTGAATTTTGTTAAAGCAACAATGATACTGGTACCTGTTACGGTAGAAATAGAAACCAATACAACCACCACTCCCTTCTATTTTCCTCGTGCCAAGGTCACACTTGGCTATCGATTTGATGGGTTGGTTAATTTACAAACCACATAAAACGACCCTAACAGTTCCACACTATTGCCGTACGTTACACCAATGCAAAACCGTCTTTTCCTTCAGCGACTTCAGTTTATCTTACGACGCAATTTGGAGAACAACTTTTGCAATGATTTTCGCAAGTGAAACACTACATATCCTTCACCTACGTTCAGCAATTTCAAATGAGCAATTTTCAACAAACCTGAGCAACAATTTTGCGTTAAAACATAGCATAAAATGATCAAATTCAAACCAAAACGCAGGGATCCGTCTCAACGTTTTCTCACATGCGGTAACAAGCAATTGTGTCACGTGTAGGCGGCGCCACATTTGGCAAAATGTTTTCTAGTGTTATTCTCGTTTGAAGGGCTGTCTTTCAGTGAGCGCCACCTAACGTAAAAATTACGCTTTAGTGCATGTGAACCATAACAATAGAGGGTTCAAAGAAAATCCACCGGTATATGCAATACTATTTAACGTTATAGTTAAAATCCCTTTGCCCAGGTAAGCCAGATCAAGTAGATATCTGTATCTATATTTTTTGCGCTACAATTTTCTTATTTCTTTCGTATTGTGGGGGCAAATTAGGTACATAAACCTCGCATGGGGCAATTAGTCTTTAACGTTATTTGTTAATCAAGTTAGATGACTTGATATCGATTTCAGCAGAAGCTAGTCATAGGAATGAGAAAGCAAGTGAGTAATTCATTTCTGTTTTATTCAGTCTATGCTTCCAACTTTTAGCATTTTGTTTGCGGTTAGAACTATTCAATAAATTAATTTTAAAAAAGACTTTCTAAGTGGTAACACACTGACAGTTTCTTGTGGCAAGTTACACTCGATAGATATATTTTCAAAGCAAAAGTGAGAAACATGCCAAGGAGTAGGGAAGGTAGGTTTATGGTGTCTGTAGTTATTAATCATGATTGTCATTATTTTAATGCATGGTATTTTTATAGCGCACATTTAGATGTTTTAGTGTGTGGTTTATTTTATAGTTTGAAGCCCAAGGCTAGTATAGTTTATGAGAATATAGTATACCTGCTATACAGATCCCATTTATTAGTGTTACTGTAGACTAAACATCTATAAACCTTCCTCTGTTAGATTGCATATATTCTTAGTTTTGCTTTACAAAAGCTGATCATAGAGAAATAATGGAGAGAGTCCAGGAAGGCTTTAGTAGCCTGTGTGGTGAGCTTCGTTTAAGTTCTGTTACCCATTCACTTTTTGTAGTCAACATTGTCATATTTTGACTCTCAGCTAGTGATAATGTACTTTATTTGAGTGAAGAGTTCAGGTTTATATGATGAATTTGCCTACTGAAAAGCCATAAGCTTGGGTTGGCGTTTAGAATTTAAAGGCTATTGATGTCATGGTAAATATTAAAAAAAAAAAAAAATTAAACCATGGACTTATATTTTTCAGGTTCTTGCAATATGGGCTCTGGGTTTCTGGTCATCAAATATGTATTTTATGGATTTAATTGCCTCTTTTGGGTAAGTTTTGTATTTTTGACAGGCTTACAAACATAATGATTTAGAATTTGTTAAACAGATAGTTTTCAGTTGAATTTGAAGCATGAACATATAAGTTCACCTGTTCTTATCCACTATGCACCTCTGGCAGTCATATGCAACACTTACAAAAATGCCTTTATATATGTATAGTGTTTTCTTTTTAACCTGGTCTTTAAAGAGATCATGTTGTGAATAAGTTCGAAAAGTCAATGGGTACGAAACAGACAGATAAGAAAGTAACTTTTTTGTGTTTTCAGCTTTTAGGCTGTGCTAGTCTTGGAGTGGGTGTATGGCTTCATCAGAATAAGGGTGAATATGGGGCAATAGCCCAGAGTTACAGCTTCCTCAGTGCCCCGGCCTTACTCATAGCTGCTGGGGTGGTCATCCTGGTGGTGGGGTTCTTTGGCTGTTGTGGAGCCCTGGCAGAAAACCAGTGCATGCTACTCACTGTGAGTATACTGGCAGTATATATAGCTTACTTACTTAGGGTGTATTCAGATTCACACATTGTACTAGCAGGGTCGGTCCAACTGGGATTCTTGGTAAAGTGAAATCAGTGGAATGGGTTTACAACTGGGATTCTTGGTAAAGTGAAATCAGTGGAATGGGTTTACTTAGCACATGATACTTAATTAACCCCTAGCTTTTGGGAAGGCAGATGTCAGACATTTGAGCTGATCCTATTGATTGCACTTAAGTGAATCTGAATGTGGTCTTGAATCTTCTTCATGAATGGGTTCATATAATATAAGCCAGACACAAGGGACCTCCAATTCTCCCTCTCCTGAGCTGATGTGCCTATTGTGATCCTGGCTAGCCTTGTTTGTCTTCATTTCTCCACATTCCCTTTTGCCTGCCATGATCTTTATTTCCATGTCATGTCCATTTTATAGTCCATCTTGCGATTGCATTGTCTTTGTGGAATAAGCCAGCACAAATGTGTTAGTTGTGTTGTCCAGTGAAAAGGTACAGAAGGAAACAATTTTTTTGAAGCTTAAAAATATCGGTATGTTAATAAACAAGAGGTAGCTGTGTGATTATTTTCATTGCCCAAATGTAAAACACTACTGCGCCTGTAGCATGGTTACATGTAAGCAGGTTGTGTAGTTTTAATAGTGTTGAGTAAACCATCACCTGCAACAGTTTATGTAGAATGATTTAAATATATGGCTTCATATTTATATAGACGTGTACTGAGAACTGGAGGTGTTGGCTGTTTTTTATTAATTATATGTTGACATTATTTTTAACTTTTATAATTATATTTTTATTTCAGTATTTTGTGCTGGTGGTCCTAATATTTGTCCTACAGATTGTAGCAGCTATTCTTGCCTTTGTACACCAAGATGAGGTAAGGGAACACTGTTAGACTTTGTACATTTTTGTCATATATTATAAATATCTTTTCATAAAGTAAGATTAGTAAAGAATTTTATATTAGTTCAAGTAATATTTGTAAAGTTACAAATTATAACAGAAATTGTGGATATTATTATGATGTTGTGTCTGATGTTTTGAGTAATTTTCAATTAATTTTAGATCAACCATGTATTAGAAAATGAACTCCTTGTGGGTATAAAAGACAAGTATCCTGGTGATCCAAGGAGACTAGAAATGAAAGATGCCTGGGATTTAGTTCAGATTGAAGTGAGTACAAGTGATTTAACCACTAAGCATGTTTTTTTACTGCATTTTTATTGTAAACTTTTTACATCTTCAGAAAAATGACAGTTTTTAGTACTGAAAACTGTCATTTTGTTAAATAGTTTCCTTTTGTCAAATTGTCCTGTCTGAATGTATGGATATTTAACAACAAATTATAGTAAATAATGATTAATTAGACTGTTAAGCACTGGGAGGTATAAGATTCCAAAAAGATGAGGAGAGCTATGGGACAATCCCATGTATATTTGCCCCAATTCGTTTTAATGTAATAATGTTTTAACAGTTAGTTATGCTTTAACATAACAATTTAACTATCAGAAAACAATTGTGTAACTTTTTTCAGCTGGGTTGTTGTGGGGTGTATAACTACTCAGACTGGTTTAAGTCGCATGCTTGTTTGAACAGTTTTAGTAATGCTTTAATGTATCAGATATCAGATATCATGTTTTACAACTTGTTTTTTTTTTTTCAGCTGGGTTGTTGTGGGGTGTACAACTACTCAGACTGGTTTAAGTCCCATGCCTGGCCAGACAAGGACTGGGTGCCAGACTCCTGTTGTAGAGCTTCACAGCATTCAACCCTCTGTGGGAGAACTGGAAACCCTGCCATGTGGCAGAGCCACGTATGTGTTATATGTGTCAATACTTGTCTGTGAATTTTCTCTAGTTCATTGTTGATATGATATAATATGACATGATATGATTTGATATGCAGGTTTCTTTTCAATAAGTTTTAAAAAATAAGGCCATAATATTTTGGTTGTCAACTTTTAATTAAAAATAAAGAAAAATGTGAACAGTTATCTTTTGTGAAAGATATACAGGTGACTCAAGCAATATAATTTTTCTGAGGTCTGCAAACATTGTCTGAAATAAACAAACAAAAGAACATTGCTTTATAATATGATTTAATACTTGAATGTCAATATCTTCCAAGATAACAACTTGAAACATTGCTGTCATCTGACATTGTTGTCATCTGATTTATAATATATGTCATTTTCTCTGATTGGTAAAAAAATTCAACCATTACATCATTACCATTAAATATTATGTTTGGTGATGAGATCATTGGTTAAATATTCAACATTCAGCTTTATCAGACCTCAAAGTCTTTGTATATTAGATCCTATTCGATGCTAATTATAATAACATGATTTATTTCCGATTGGTTTCAATTACAGGGGTGTTTTAATGAGCTGAAGTATTGGTTGACCCAGCATTTATACATACTAGGAGTAGTGGCAATTACCGTAGGAGTGATACAGGTATGGAATAGTTTCCCTTTGAATGGTGAAGACATTGGGAATAGTCTTTTGATGATTCTTTTGTCTGTAGCTACTTATATTTGACACCTATCACAACCTCATTCCCTGATGAAGTCTGGGAATGACTTATTGGCTGGTAAGACCAGGCGAATATAAGTAGCTATAGCCACAGAATCTTCACAAGTCTATCACAATAACATAGCTAATGAAACTGTTCTACACTATTGGTAAGAGTGTTTTAAATATATATATACATATTAGTGCTACCAGTTTAATTTACCATCTCTTGTGAGCTTGGTGTCAAGTTATAGGCAGTTTGAAACTAATAACACAACTTGTAAGTATATTATTCATCCCATGCAAATTTGTCTTTTACAATAAAAGATCGACAGAATTAAAGGTGTCCCAAAGTCATATTTTTGGTGTAAGTGCCTTGCAAAATTACTTATTTGTTCCAATTTAAACCTTTAAAAAATAATAAAATCTCTAAAATAAAAGTACCTGATGTCGGTATTTTCTTTGAAATAGCAGGAAGTTAATGGTAGTTTCAATAATCATAATTTAATTAGAACTATGTTATTTAATCAGAAATGGTACAAAACATCAAATCCAAATGTAGGGACAGGTTAAGAAATGATTTGTGAATAGCATCAGGCCTATCCAACTACCAGGCTCGGTACCGAACGACCCTGAATTCACTGGTAGATCGGACCACACTACCATTTTCAAGGTGTGCGTCAGTACGCTCTTCGAGGTATCAGACACGACACTGCTCTTGCCTAATGTGCGATGTGATAGCAATTATTCTGAGCCGGGTTGGAAAGTAGTGCATCTCATTTCAAAATTTGTTCCGAGGTATGATACTGTGAAATGTGTACTGACACACACCTTGAAAATGGGCAGTGTGGTCTGATCTACCAGTAAATTCGGGATCATTCAGTGCTGAGTCTGGTAGTTGGGTAGGCCTGAGCATGAAACTGCTTTTTTTCTTGGGGAAGATTAGATTAGGTAAGAAAATCCCATATGGTATACCTATTACGTTTTCAGTTTTGTTTCTGATTCTCTTTTACTATTTTTAGATTTTGGGAATGGTTGCAGCCATGGTGCTTTACTGCTGCTTGAGAAACAACAAATACTACAGATAACCCTTGGCAAACCCTGATCAGACCACGCCCTTGCTTATCTGGAAGAATCTGAGGTGTTTCAGGTTGGAATCCAGTCTGGTTACCCTGAAGTCAGTTGCTGTCTTGTTACCTATAAACCAAGCAGTGGCATTTTATAGGGTTCATGTTAGTGAAAAGATTTGAGGGGGATTTGCTTAGGTCAGAAACTAAATTACTGTTTCTTTACCTTCCAAACAAGCAGTGGGATAAAATGTAGATTAATCCAATAGTAGTATATCGTACTGCTTTGTTTTACAAGAACATTCCCACATGAACAAAAAGTTATGAAAAGAGGAACAAACAGTGTATTGCATTTATCTTTGAAACATTTGCCTTCTAGTCGAAGATTTATGATTGTAATAATAATATACAGCAAGGGGCGGAACCAGAGTTGCGCTTTCTGATGTTATGTCAAAACCATAGTGAGAAAGAAAAACTGGATGTATTAGGACATTTTAAAGATTTTATTTATTTGCTGTACAGTAGTTGGAATCACAATAGCTGGCACATTGTATAACAAATATTAAGTATAATACTATAAATAATACTCATGTAAATAACTTTTATAGTTTAATATTTAGCATATATATTTTTAAAAACTTAGCATTTAAGCTGTCATGTCCATTAATGAAACACTTCTCTTAAAATGTTCCTATCAATATATTTCATTTTAAAAGGCACTGGTTTTGAGCCGACTGTAAGCTATTTATTTTAATTGAAACTTATGTTTTACCTCGTAACTGAAGGAACTGAGGACTGAATCATGTGTAAAAGATCTGACTGCCAGGGAGTGATAGGACAGCTACTTGTTTGAGATGAAGTGCATTTTAGGTTCATTTTAGAAATTTGTTTGGCGTTTTCTTTGCTGTTAGTTTTTATTTGGGTATTCATTTCCTTTCATATATAAAATTTAGAACCAACTCTGTTCCTAAGACTCTTGTCAATGTGCCATTTTTGCATTGTATGATTTGAATTAACTTGTATACAAATGTAGATTATACCATTTTGTTCAATGAAATGGTATCTTTATCATTTCATTTGAAACACATGCCGACAGGCCTGCACATAAAAGTACTGTTTAATAATAAATAATTATTTTTAAAAGTATTTTTATTATTTGTTATATTTTGCAATATTATCAAAGGAATTATCTTGAAAAATGTTTTTCTTCTTAATTGATGACAATCCTGAAATTTTGTCACACAATCTAATCTAGTAGGTTGGAAAGAAAGTGTTTGCAAACTATTACTGTAACTTCCCACACTTAGTTTATTCATCCCTTTTTGCCTCAATTAAAATTTATATTCTCTCATTATATAGCTTTAGAAGTAATTAGTACCAGAAATTAATCATCAAATTAGTTTTTTATTAACGTGCAAGAGGAAGCTAGATACAGCCTGTGTTATTAATTTTTGATGTATAGAACATGAAGCACTTAAAACAAAGAACATAGCAAACTCACTCATCCATGATGTCATGTTGTCACCGGAAGGGTGTCTGTCAAACCTCAGATATAGTTAAACATCATTTACTGGTAAATGACAGCCATGACTGTATACCCTATATACCATTTTCTTCATAAGGCGTACCTATGTTAATATAATTTTAATCATGAAAGAATAAATTGGAAAATTTTTCCATATCATATTGTTTTTTTTTAAATTTTACTTTTCCTTAGTCTTCATTCTGACATCAAACATGTAATGGTGTATATAAGTTTTAAAGCTTGTTTAGTTCTGTCCTGGGATCGTTAAAGCATCCCCACTGATAGGAAATCAGCTGCCAGATACATTCTGTGTCAATTTTCATAAATTTGGGAAGGGGTGGGGGGATTGTTTCAATCCAAAAATTTCAAATTCCCAAAAATTGTGAAAATGTCAGTTGTGAAGAAAAATATATTAGAACAAATAACATGTCAAATATTTGATAAGATTAATAAAACCGCATTTCAAAAGGTTTCACAAGATTTTTTGATTACCACTTGGTGTACATATTTAAGTGTCATATTTTAAAACTCCATTTTGTATCTGATCATGATCAGGAATTGAAGCTCTTTAAAGAAGACATCACACATATGTGCATTTGTATGTAATGTGTGGAGAAAAATCTTGATGCAAACAAAATGACAGGAGAACACGAGCTTTGAAGAAGATTAGCATTTCATCCTGAAGATGCATGTCAAGCGACATACTTCCTATGGATCCCAGTTTCCTATCCTCAGCAAAATGTGTTCTACTGCAAAATTGGGTAAAATAAGGTTAAATGAAGTAATTCAAGTATTCAATTAAAAAAGAAAAAAAAAAAACTTGATGCTTTGTAATTTAATTTTCTGGTTTTGACTATCAATTCTACCAATTCTTGAAAACAAGGTAGTGCATGTTTACTATGTGGGGCACTGAGTAAGCGGAGGGGGCTGAATTCAACTTTAAAAATCATACTTATTTTACATCTGGTCTTCCTTTCAAAGGTTTTTTGGAAATAAATACCATGCTGACTGGCAATTAATTCACCCAAACTGTTACCATGCTTAAAACTTTATCTTCCTCAATCCTTCAAATACCATCTGCAACACCTCGTTGCACAATGCATCCCTGGATATCCCCCCCCCCCCCCAAAAAAAAACCCTGTTCTCACCTTGATGGATAGATTTCCTGTGAAACGTCATTGGGAGTAGCAAACACAATACAAATTTAAACTGATTTATTTGATATCTATATGAACATTACAATATGTTCTCTATTGTAACAAATCTGAGAGACCTGTGCCAATATCTAACTTAACGGGAACACAAATCAAAACTTTTGGGTGCAAGTTGATGAGACAGTACTTTGAGGTAATCCCGGTTAACCGTTACCACTTGTGACATGCCAACTTCTTATAAATACCAACCAACATACAAAGCAGAGATAGCTTACATTTCTACATTGTAGTCATCTTGTTATGTAGCACACAGTTTAAACAGCTAAAACCTGACGTGACATAACACAGCTGGCTTAGTTAAGGGTACTTCAGAGCACAAAATATATTTCAGCATTCCATCACCACAACTCTAATTTACTCAACTGAAACGAGTATAATAAATAACGTCTTTAAAATCAAAAAAGATGCTTTCTATAACTCTCACCTCACACACAGATTTTTCATATTTTTAGATGTCAGTCTGCATAAGGTCAAGTCTTTTAAAAAGTTTTTCATATTTTCAGTAAATTTGTGACAAGTTAACATAACACTAATATGAAAGCAATCGTTACATCTCCTGTCTTTGTTTGTCTGCTTCTTCTGAAACATTCACTAATTGAAACCAATATCCACAACTACATCGACTTGGTTCCCCTTCGTGGAGTTCCATCCATAAAATAGCATGCGATTCTTCTTCACCTGAAAAATTTTAAAAGAGAAAACTAATCAATCATGCACTGAAAGCTAATGCATAATATGCAAATTAAACCAAACCTCCGAAAATAGCCCCAAAAACCTCATTGGGATAGTGAGGGTCACAGTTACCATTCTCTATACACAAGATCTGCCTGAGAGGCTTGGTCCATATGAAAGACACAAGGTAGAATCTTACATGCAACCTATAAGCATTCTTAGAAACCAAATATTTAATAGTGCACCCCAAGAACCGCACCCTCACGGAGAGAAATTCTTGTATCATATACCAGATCACCTGTAATTGAAATAAGATGATGGCCCCAGGACATTTGGTTCAAATAACATTAAGTAAACAAGCCCACTGTCACATAGCCTCTACAGGCTAGGACTGCTTTCCAAAACACGACTTCTATTGGCTCTTAACTTGTTATTTTACAAGTTCTCAATCTAAACTATATGTAAAGTTTCAGTCTTTATTTGAAATTTCAATTAGGCAAAAAAAGCGTTTGTAAATAAAAACCAATTAACATTCACCAGCCTGATCTGATACTCACACACACATCCTATTAGCCTGTGATCCATAACAGAGGGAACCAAGTTAGGGAACTCACGGGTCCCTACATTTTGTCGTATCATTCTGTAGTCATAAACATCAAAAGAGTCCTGAAAATTAAAAATATTTTAATTATTTAAACATCATTTATCAACTCTGCTTTGAATATTCACATCTTTGAAATTTCAGCATAATTGTGACATTTGCAACTTGCCAAGTTTAAATAATTTACTTTTTACAACCCTTTTATCTATCCTTCCAAGTGATAAAGTTGAACACCAGACATGCTGAAACTTTGACCGACAAAATTTGTCTGGACCGGTAAAAAAAAAATTTAGTTGGTCTAAAGTACCCAGGAGAGTTTTAACTTTAAGAGCCCCCATTTTGAATTTATAGTCATCATTCGCCATACTTCACTAATTTAAAACTGATTTAGTTATTTGCAAATTAGCATGAATAATAAACACCAAATATTTCTTTTGTTGAGCATTGGAAATGAGTTTTTTTCATTTGATTTTCAATGATAAGTTTTAATTAAGAGTGGAATTTAAGGACTTTCAAAGGAAGAAATGAATTTAAGCACTTTTAAAACCTATATGAACCCTAGAACTTGTGAAATGAGAACCACAATAAAACAGTGCTTCAAAAGTGTCGGTTTTTGATTTTTAAATAAACAAAACATCTAAATTATTGATAGTTTTCAATGCTGAGTATATAAATATTTTCAATGCTGAGTATATAAATACAAGTGTTACTTCTATGAACTACCATGCAAATGAAATGCCACCAAATTTTATAAAAAACTTCAGTCCGGCAAAAGTCCATTCGGTCCGGCAAGTTTTTCCTTACTGTCAGTTCTAATGTCCGGCCACTCTGAAAAGTTTTCAGCATGTCTGGAACACTGTCAAATATTATGAAAACTCAAACTTACAACGCCCATGATATCTTCAAGAATTTCTGCTCGATGCTCACCCATTGAATAACCCAAAGAATCAGGGTAATGTATACCTTTTTTAACTGAAATTGAAAAAAAAAAAAAAACATTGATTTAATACATGAATGCATTATAAAAAACATCAGCTCATTTAAATAGAAAGCAGCATTATACATAACACTGTTTTGGCTTTAAAACACCTTTAGCAGTTCATAACCTTGTTACTTCTCTAAAGTGAATCTTCAGAAATGCTATTACATATAAGGATGTGGAGTTGCTGTGAGAGATCTATTTATCTATCTATCTATTCTTTTGCCTCAACAGTGATTTCTGAACAGTGAATCAAAAATGTGACATGAAATACCATTTACTGAAATGAGTGACAGTAAAATCGTGATGCTTAGCCCAGAAAGTGAACCAATATACTCATGTTGCCAAAATAGCTTCATATAAGATCTGTATTCTACTGATAACTGACACGTAAACATAAAATGAATTTGTTTGAAAAAGGGCAATAAAATAATTACCTGAAGTTTAAAACAAGGAATAATTTGCAATTGACAAGTTGCATAACCACTGACACACAGTGCCGAGCTAGGAGCTCATTTTGACAACTTTGAAACAAGATAATGTTAGTGCTAAAATTCCAAGACGAACAAAATTCTGTGATATTTTTTACAAAATAAAAAATTCCAGTTTGCGTTCATCATAACAGGAAAGCAGGATTATTTGACAACAAACACGGGATCTACGTGATCTTTTGGGGACTCCTGCCATGCGCATTTAACCTTTCTCAAAAACGAACAGTATTTTATGCCAGACACACTGAGATCTTACATTGTCTCCCTCTCATAACATCCTGTGCTGGAGGTTTATAGTCGCTGAGACAAACAGATGATGTGCAAAGCTGTCTAGATACTACATTTTTCAAAGAACTCGCAGCACGACGGACCAACGCCATTTTCTCAGGAGCGTAAAGAACTCTCGCAGAAACTCGTGCTTCAACGTCCTGTGAAGGAGTGTGAAGGTCTTTCCTTCAAGGTTGCAAGATAAACTTTAAAAATTGGTCTAATTAACTAATTATTGCCAGTATTTATTATTCATAGGAGTACATCCAAAAGATAATTAAAGATTTTGTTTTTTAATGTTCGTGTTGACAGCATTTGGAAGCCAAATCAAAGTTAATGTTTATGGCTTATCTTGTGGTCAAAGGTCACGCACGTGTTTATATCAGTTCAGAGGCGTCGGATTTGAAATCAAAAACATAAACTAAGTATGATCGAGGCTTCCAAATACTGGACTCTAGATATAGAATATAGAGCCGAATGAAAATGTACTGGTATATATGAAGGCATCTTAATATTCATCATGACAGCAAACAGAATAAGAGTTTACAAGGCTGCCACTGAACGATTGGTAATTATCAAAAATTAATTTGCCGCAGTTTTCGGACTTACGTACTGTCAGACTACCGTATGTTAGCACTACCTGAAATGTGAATTTGTCTGTTCATATCACTTTTATTATTAAGTAGGATAAGCTTGATGTATTTGGAGTATTTATAGAATTTTAATTAATAGATATATAGTACCTCGGACCCATCAGACATGTACTGGTTGTGCTCATAATTCGCGCGACAATCNCGCTCCGTGGTTTGTGACCGATACTGCATTACGTCATTTTCAAATTAACGTTGGCCGTTATGTGGGAAAATTGTGGATAGCAGGACAAAAACTCACAAGTAGAATAAATATTAAATCTTTCAAACAAAACTTTGCAAAGTGAAGAAAAACCCGTTAGCAAGGCAGGAGATAGGCCCTGTGTCAGCCTAGAAAAAGGAACAGTACCGGCAGATAAGCAACTATGTAATTACGTCGGCTTACAGCAAGCGGCAATTAACTCCCCGTCGAGCATAAACAGGGTGACAAGCCGCCACCGATGGACAAGCGGGGTTGATTTGCATATTAGCGAACATAGGGCGGGCTTGACGTCTTCTCATTTTCATTGCCATTGTGTTTTGCCCTATAATTATCTCGTCACCATGTACGCATACAGATGTCAGAAAATGATCAATTAGTTGTCGCGGGAATTATAGGCATGACAGTATACTTTTATTGTACGTTTATGATGGGTCCCTGTTAATTGTACCACCAGCGCGGTGCTGGCGGTACACATGGTTTTAGTCCTGACCGGTCTTGTCCATCTCATCCGCCGGCTCTGGTGCCATGTCACTATTACCCCTTCTCCTACTAGACTACAAGAGCCTGCGTATACCAATCTCATGGATTTAGGTCACATGTACCCTGTAATAACCAGTCAGTAGGTTATACAGGTTCTTTGGTTCACTTTTCACAAGTAAGACAACCAAGACAGGCAGGTATTAAAATTAAATCTTGATTTACATTTTAAATGAACTTCTCTAAATGACATGCAACATGCCATGTCTATATACATTTGAATAATTAAAACTTAAATAAATATATGCATATCTCATGTATGCAAATTTAGAAGACTATCACTACAGTTAATGGTTCACTAAGTACAATTAATGGTTCACTTTACCATACAGTTTACGAGTTGCGCTATATGTCAAAGAGTACAACATTGCAATTTTCAGTGTTGAAAATAAAATTTGAAAATACTTCAAAATTAGCAGGGATAAGCCCAAAGTTACTCTTGAACTTGATTAGCAAGTCATATATTGGCAATCTACTGTAACTGTGACCTTGAAATTAACCTTTGACTTTCTTTTCACCATGAACTGAACTTTGTAACTTTTCTGTCCCTCATATTTTTGACCTACTTTTCACCATGGACAGCACAAATTTGGGTTTGACCTTTTACTTTTCCCCATGATTTTGTTATAAATAAATATTTTCAATAAAAAAATGAGAACTCTTGTGTACTGCATTTTGTAAAGCTTGTCAAGCACAACAGTGGAGGTGGTGTCCCTTTTTTTTTTCAATACGAATGCGCTTACTCCAGCTGGTGTTGCATCCCCCAAAGGTGGTATTGCCTTTCTGATCCTCTAGTTTAATAATTAGTATGCTGTATTTAAATTCCTCAACTGATCTGATTGTACATGTAATTTTACTTGTGGAATTTAGTATTTTAAAAAGTTCACATTGCAGAATGCACCTGAAGAAATTTTCAAGGAGCTCATAAACGACTACTACCTCAGTGTCCTCCTTGAAACGCCAGATGAGAAGGAAAATGTGTTGCAGAACTGGTTCAGAACAGTCAGTTGTCAGGAGAGTGAATACGGCCTCAGGGCTGCAGCAAGGGCTTTAATTTACCAGGTATATGTGCTTAATGGTACTGCTGTAATCATACGGTTTCTTTTCTGAAAATTCTCAAATGACTGTATGAAAAATAATGAGCATGAAAGAAAAAGATGTATTGTGTAAGGTTTTTACCCTCTACAGGCCACGGGTTGATTTTTCACTAGATGTTCACAGATAATTGATATCTCTGGCTAAATATAGTCAATCTTCTAACAGTGACCACGTGTGCTGAAATCTCTAGGTTGATTACATGGCTGGTAATTGTTTGCATAACTACTCAGGAATTGCCACTTAGCTATATATTAGTTGACCTCACTGCAGATAAAGTTTATGATGGAATATTATTATTATATAGTATATTTTCCAAATAGTTGTACATATGCTATTTTATGATGAGGAATATTGATATTCTATACACTTTATTATTATTGACTTTTAAAAATGTTTTAAAAGTATTTTCACAGTATGTAGTTATGCAGTCACTTACACCCCATTTCCATAGATTTTTAGATCGATCTATCCCTGTGGGGAGTCTCACTAGATTACTGTCAGCTTGGCCGGCTTAAGCGTCTGTCCCGCCTACTAAAAGCTGTAAGGGGGTAATTAACTATGGTGCCCTCTCGGCTGACTGCAATTTAGCGTGAACCCCCAGGGAGTTAGCTAGGTCGATCTAAAACTTAATCTTTAGATCGATCTAAATCTCTGGGAAAGCACCCTTATTGCAGGGTTAAGAAGTGGTATGGGGTACATGAAAGTAATACTTATTTGGCAAGGTGAGTCCCAGTACAGATTTTTTCATATCATTCTGTATCCCCAAAGTAAGTGACTGCAAACTTCCACAGTAAATTTATTACATCACAGTGTTAACTTTTAAATAAGGTGTTATGAATACTTTACCCAGCTTCAACTTATGTACAATATCCTGCTGTAATCCTTGTTACAGTTACTGACAGTATGTGATGTGATAATAGCCAGGGTGACTAGATGACTAAAGTATGTCATGAAATGCATGATAAATATTGTCATATATTGTCATTTAAGGATGTAGGCGAGAAGATAATGCTTCTTATTCCACATTTATCAACCAAAAAGATGAAAGACATTTTCTTTGATGATAAAATAAACTTCTAGGAAACTTTATGTTTTACAGGACTTGGAAAATGGAGTTCCTGATGTAGTCATATTGGAACTGGTGAATTCAGTTGCATCTGTAGGTTATGCATCTTTGCCTATTATATATATATATATATATATATATATATATATATATATATATATATATATATATATATATATATATATATGGTTTATTAATTTACCTTAAAGGGTTAAAGTTTATCATCAGTTCATTAAAAATACTTATGCAGCAAATCTCTGTTCTGTGCATATTTTATTTCTTTATTATCTGTCAAAAAAAGATCATTGTTGTCATAATTATTTTCATTCATTCACTGAAGTTTTTACTTACAGACACATGCTTTTTTTTTTTTTTTTTTGATATTTTAACTGTTTTGATGTGTGTTTGTGTGTGCGTATGTATATCTTCTTTCTTTTTTTGTGAAGTACAAACTGCCTGGTCGGAATGAAGACGAAAAATCAAAAGGCACAGTGTCTGTACATATTGCCATCACCCATCTGTCTGCTTCACAGCCATGCACATTTTTTGTCATGGCAATAACTGGAAATATATCACCATATGTATATCACCACAATATCACTGGGAATACTCAGTCCTAAAATGCCAGAAAAGATCCCCAAAAATGGGCATGCAATCATTTCATGCAATTTTCAAAAAAAAAAAAAAAAAAAATGCTTCTTCAGTAATGTTGATCTTGTTTTTATGTACAGACACAGTAGGGCCATTGCCCTCAAAATCTGGGAAGCAGTGTTACTAATTTTAACATTCAAGTGTTTACTCTTTTCCTGGGTCTGCCAGTCAAAATGGCCATGGTCCCATGCTTTTTTTTTTTTTTTTTTGATATTATAACTGTTTTGATGTGTGTTTGTGTGTGCGTATGTATATCTTCTTTCTTTTTTTTTGTGAAGTACAAACTGCCTGGTCGGAATGAAGACGAAAAATCAAAAGGCACATTTCAAGAAGTCTTTATAGATGAAACTATGAAAATATTTCAATCTGTTCTGCTGAAATCTTCAATTACAAATGTGAGTATTGCATTACTTGTGATTGCAAAAAGAGTTGATTATATTCAGTTGTATGCATTCATCATCATTTTTACAGCAGAGGAAAGCAAATGTTACAAAATAAGATATTTATTATTGATACTTCAAGTATCTTTCATAATTTGTTTCAAAATTTTGGCACATATGACAGTTTTAAAAAAATCTTTTTTTAAAATGTTTTCTTTCATATGGCCAATCATTTTTTAAAATCAAATCTAACGACCCACATTCTACTGATTATTTCTCAGTTGATATATATTGTTCCTTACACATATATACCCTGCAATAGCTAGTTGTGAACATTCAAATTTAATCTTTCCAGATATGTTTTTATTTTTTCGTCCTGAACTTAATTTATTCATGATTGCCATATCTTGCATTCATCAACACCATATCTTATGAGTGATCTCAATTATTGATGATTTCTTTGTGTATTGTCAAGTCAAAATATGTTTTAATGTGGTATCTATTTAAATTCATAACCTGTTATTTTCCTAAAACTATATAATCCAATGATCAGTAATCTAAGTCTGCATTGTTAGGCACAAAGAAGCCCTGTACTGGGATAGTAAAAAAAAAAAAAATTATAAAACAAGCCCACTTTTAGACCCCAATTGCCCAAAGGGCTTATAGGCTAAAGTGCTTTTGGCACAGGCTGTAATCTTTCAAAAATTATTTTTAGTTGCCAGAAAAAATGAAGGATAATCGACTGTTCATTATATGCAGGTAACTACAAGTTATCCTTCTACTATTTAATTAATGAAATATGTATAATTTTAAATATCGAAAGGAAAAACCTTAATCTTAAGTCATAAAAATTTTAACATGTAAGTTCAGTTGAATAGTGTCTGCTATAGTGACTGTAAATATATATGCATTCTTGTATCTTTGGTATTGTACTACATAAATGTTGAGTTGGAAGCTAAGTTAGACCCCATTCCCAGAGATTAGATTGATCTACTTTAGATCGACCTAACTCCCTGGGGGTTCACGCTAAATAGCTGTCAGCCGAGCGGACACGAAAGTTAATTACCCCCTTACAGCTTGTAGTAGGCGGGGCGGACATTTAAGCCGGATTATCTGACAGTAATCTAGTGAGACTGCCCGCGGGGATAGATCGATCTAAAAGCTCTGGGAATACAGCCTAAAACTGAACACATGTATAGCCTGATATGAAAATTTAACGTCCCTAGGAATAGCATGATGGTATGTGACATGCTGCAGACTCTCAGTAATAAATCTTCAGCAGAAATTATATATATATATATATATATATATATATATATATTGTTTTAATCAAGAAGTGGTATTCATTTTCAGATTAATAGGAGAACTTTTCCTGCAGCACTATTTTTCTTGTGAGGCAATCCTAAACATTATATCCCGCCTTCAAAGACAGCGCACTGATGCCTCTGTCCAAGCCTTGTGTGTGCTGCTCACCATTGTTGGAGGCTGCCTGGATCGCTGCGGAATTCACACTGTAAATATTCACAACTTGTTATTTTTTTTCAGTATATGTGTAAAATTGAGTTATGTGACAAAATTGAATTTTGCTAGATATCTGCACTGTCTGTGTTAAAAGCATGCATCTTCCTACTTTGTGATTAACTTATTTATTAATCTCTTCAGTCTTCAGGAATATTTTTTACATAGATAAAATGTATGTCTCTTTGTCAGATATTTAGTTTTGTTCAGTGTCGTTAAATGTCTCAACTTTATTGTACTTATAATGATTGATTTTCAGGAAGCCATGAATAACATTTTCAACTCCATGAAAAGTTTTCGTCAGAGAATGAAACCAACTGAAAGTACTCTAAAAATGATCAGGACCCTCTGTAAATTTAGAAAGGTAAGGTATTCATTCCAATTTCACCAAATGTCCAGACAGTTGAACATTTTGACCATGTCTGCAGGAAAGACTAAAAAGTCGTGATGGCACTCTAATCGCAACACTTGTACTGGTATGGAGGACTAGACAGGTTTACAATATAGAAATGTTATTTTAGTTTATTACCATTAAATGTAAAGGGATGAATTGTTAATAAGAAATATTCTGTTTAAATAGGTTTTAGCAATTTTGATACTTTGTCATCTTTTTCTTCTCCTTCAAGTGTCAGACCTGGTGCCGGCATCAACGATCATGGTCCTCCAGTTTTATGTATTTTCAGTCTTTTGGTAGAGCTTGTTGTTGCACAGTCATTGATTTGTTGCAAAGGCATTAAGGCTGTCAATGTATGATGTTCTTTGTCTTCTTCTACTTCTTCTTCCTTCAATTTTCCTGCAGAGTACAATATTTCTATTTTTTATTTTCTGATGGTATGGCCTAGAGATTTTATTTGTTGTTTTCTGATTGTTTTCATCAGTGAGTGTTGTACTCCTGCAAGTTGTAACATTTCTTCATTGGTCTTTCTTCCTGTCCAGAATTATCATCAATATCTTCTTAGGTACCACATTTCTATGGCTTTCAAGTTTTTCTTAGTGTTGTTGGAATTTTTTTTATCATGTATGCCAATGTAAGTTTTATATTTTGTTTTCAGCCAACCATTCAAACCACTAACAAACGTTTTGAAAAATCAAATTATTGATTTCAAGTCATCCCAGCAGCAATTTAGCCACTTATCCAGAAATGATGCCATGGTTTAATTGTTTCCAGCCTAATCAAATTAAAATGTTCTTAACAATTTTTTTTCAGAACAACTGGACACTTATTCAGTTGCCACCAGCGCCCTCTCCAGGCTATCTGGAGGCAGCAGGAGAACAGATGCTGCCCAGTGTGCAGTTCATTACCCCAGGTAGCCTGGACTGGAACACTGTTGGACAAGACAACGAGGAAGAGGTATGTCAAAACTTCACTCTGCCTCCTAAGGGGCGGATCCAGAGATATTTTCTGGCAGTCTTCCAAATTATCTTTGTTGATCCATCCGCCATTTTTGACCACCTTCCGACAGAGAAAAATTAGATACCCGTCAGTGTAAACTTTGAAAATCTGACCGTCTCCTGGAAGGCCCAGAAGACGACCTAAATCCACCCCTGCTCCTGTAGGATTATTTTGATAGAAGTAGAATGATGAATAGAGAAGCAAATTACAATTGAATAAGACTTTTATAGACCCAAAGGGCTGAAGTGGACATTTCCCATAGATATGAAAAAAGTACATTTTGTAAAGTATGTAGTATTACGTCTAGAATATTTAAAGAGGAGCGATGATAATACCTGCATGTAGCTGTAGAAAATGTTAAATACAAAACCTTGGGTTATTTAATGCACCTTCATTAGTGTAATTGGTCAAGAGTGTGTCCTGGCATTGCATCTTGCTTTCAAACAGAATTATTTTCAGGTCCCAAGAGTGCCACACGATTTCTCTCCTGAAGACCAGGACTGCACGTGGGGGGATCCAAACTTTGACATGTATGGTTTCTTTATCGAGCATCAGCATGCGTGGGATGCATGGCGTGGGTGTACCTGGGTGCCAGTGGGACCTCAGCTCGGCCCACCTCATTCTCCGCATGCTCTCAGCGCAGCAGCCAGCGATGCTTCGGACGAGCCGGATATCATAGAGTATCACCCCAGCGGTGAGGAATATGGGGCTGATCAGGTGGCCGATAGATTAGAAAGCCAGCTGCAGGAGCTGCTATCAGAGGCACAGCAGGTGGAAGAGAGGACAAGCAGAGAGGAGGCAGAGGAAGCACAGGCAGTTGAGGAAGAGGAGGAGGAGGAAGAATCGGAGCCAGAGTCGGATTATGAAGATGCCAGAGCATACCAAAGTTACAGTCCCAACAGTTCTGCAGAAAATATCACCAAAAGCTTGGTAGCTAACTGTAGTGAATCAGGTAAAGCACCTGAAACATCAGCGGGTATGGAAGCAGCTAGAGCAGCCCATTCCACAGATATTGTCAAGGAAGCAGTGGCATCAGAAGAAGAAGACACAGACACTGAAGAAATGGAGGCTTCCGCAGTAAGGACACCAGAGGTGGGAGAAAAAACATTGACATTTGAATCTAAGGGACCAGAACTAAAACCAGTGGACACTGCAGTTGAGTATGTGGAATTTGTAGTTCCAGTGGACGTTGCAATGGAACCAGTGGCAGAAGCAGTTCTACATACAGAAATTAGTGAATGTTTGGAAGATTGGTCAGATTGTCCAGGAGCTATAGGTCCATTGGTGATTAAAACTCCATGTAAAACAAGCACAGCACCTGCAGAAGCCTCTGCAGGAACCATAATATCAGCATTGGTCGAACCAGCTTCGACAGATTTTTCATCGAGAAATGAAGGAGGAGCAGAGTTTACAACACCTGTAAAGCAAATGACTGCAGATGACGCTGTAGAAGACACAAAAATGACAAAGGCAAATGAAATGGTAAACAATACAATGCTTAACGAAAAGCCAGCAACACAAGTTATGACAGCAGTTGAAGAAACATCAACAAAAAGGATGACAACTACAACGAAAATAACAGGGACAAACGAGACGGTAACAAGGGAGAAACTAACAAAAAAGAAAAAGTCATCGTCAGCATTGAATTTGGCAGCAAAAATAGCAGCATTGGAATTGACTGCCACTGCACCAGTGCGAGAATTTCCCACAGCAGGTCTGTTGGCACAAAGCACGCCCACACCAACAACCGTGGCATCACCAGAACCCGCGAATGTAAGAGAAGAAAAAGAGGAAAAGAAAACTTGGTGGGTACAGGCAGCATGCAGCAGACTGATACTCAACAGTATCAATACATGGCAGTCCATGTCGAGAAGAGAACGAATGATTTCAGTTTTAACTTGTCTAACTTTTGTCAGTGACATTTATTTGTCCACTATTAACACCACACACACGAGTTCTATAAACATTCTTCCTGTTATCAAGTGGATGAAAAGTCAGTATGTCATCTTAAAATACAACGGTTCAGAATGCTGAAACTTACCGGACTGCTGAGGTGAGGGAGGAGTTCCTCAGCTGGCAGACGACATGTAGCGATAAAGACAAAGTAACAATATGTTTGTGGCAATAACGTGTGTCATTACAATGCGCTTCCGTGAAAGAAAAACGTATAATTTTTAATTCCTTAATGCTTTTTTTTTTGGTAACCCGAGGAGAAAATAAAGAAATTAAACTGATATTTATGAACCTTATGGCAATTATCAGACCATCGAAATGACAATTAACGTGTCGATGTAATTTCAATCCCAATTTGTTGTCAAAATGGCATTACATTTATGTCCTGTTCTTTCAAACGGTCTTACGTTAACTCTCAATTGTTTTTTTAATGGCAAAAGAAAAAAAAACGTAAAAAAACTCGATTCTCAGTACAAGTCAAATTTGAAACAATGTACAATAAAATGCGTTTTATTAGATACGATTAACGAAAAAGAATAATAGAAACTCGTGAAAAATCGATTGCATTTTTTTTTTTATTCTATGACGGCAACTTTGGTTGACCTGGCGGTAGGTTCGTTTGCAAAGTTTCAGTGATTTTCTTTGTGCTAGTATAACGCACTTAAAAATCATATTTTAGTCATTCCTTACGCCAGGTAGGTTGGAAAACACCGTTCCCATGCATCTTCACACGGTATATTCCGCTTTTACATTGGTACTGCAATGATTACAGGAATCTTGCTCCATGCTCTAAGCCCGTAAAGCCAACGTTCTCTTTTTCGTGTTTTATTACGTCTAAAAGCGCTAGCACGATTCATATGATGCCATTCCGTGTGATGAGCCAGTAACAGACCTAAGATACAGCCGAAGACCGTGGTATTACTATTTTCACAATATTTGAAAGTACCGTACCTTCAGAACATGAAGACTGGCCACAATTTCACGGCAGAAATTTTTTGGGGTGCATGCATTTAGAGCTTGGTCTTGAGATCGGAGATGGGGACAAGAGACGCAATTCTGCGGTAGTCTGTGTGGAGAGAGACGTCATCTTGACTTCAGTTTGCGTAGATTCGGTGCTACATTCGCTGCATTTTTGATGACTCTGCAAATGCCTCACAGTGCCTTTCAGTTCATTTAGCTGCCTTTGATGTACTGAGCTTAATTTTTCTAATTTCTGGGCCGCGTTTTTGCGTCGTTTCTCCATGTTTGTTTTCCACTGATTAAAATTATGCTGTCTTTGTTTCAAGTCGTGAAGAGCCGGTGCACCCATATCTTTACACGGTGTGCCGTTTGTCCAAGAGGACGACAACCCTAGCGAAACATGTTGCTCTTTCTCATCCAAGGCGGCGTTCTGGTCGGCTAGAAACTCTCCACTTTTAGCTTTATCCATAAGTTTCAGCTTTTATCCGATTACGTTGTCTCCGACCCTAAATCAATTTTAGTGATTTCTTGAAATTTGAATATGAAACGACATCAACGTATTAATAGTTTACAGATGTATATTTCCTCACATACTGTCGCTGAACTATTGGTGTTACGGAGTTATCTGTGGTACTCAGGTGCCCTCTTACGAAAACTATAATGATATTCATGGCTATTTCATGGAGGTTCCTGTGAACAATTTGCGTGCTCTCGATAAACTATCTTGATCCAATTAGTGGCTGAAATGAGCAAAATTGGAAGCAGCGGGCATGACTTAATTCTATAGCATGTTCATCATATTAATCCACGCTGTAAAAGGTAGGCGTATTGCCCTCACTGTTTGTTGAGAATAGCGTATAAAGCACTTGCTATGACACATTGCTAAGCAACTACCACGACGCATCAATAAAGAGTTTATCAGTTGCGGTTTTCCGTGTTTTTACAACTACCTAGCTTTACGAGCGCGTTGATGGAGTGTTTGATCATTTCTACACTGCACTTAACTTTTACACTCGTTAAACGTTGCAATTGGCGCTGTACAACATGGTTCGGTAGTTGGTAAGCCTCTAGATCAATCATACGGGATTATAGCTAGGTTTGTTGCAAAAAATCAATTCTGTGGTTGTGTAGCGTTCCTCATTCACGTTTAATAATACACAATTAAAACAATGATAAAGCAATCATATGGTATCCATATGATTTTTTTCAAATGTCGCCAATACAGGTGGACGCCTTTCAATTCGGGAAAAACGAAGTTCTTGTGATATGCACGAAGACGCAAAGCAGCATCTGGACAAAGAAAACAAGCAACATTATTACACGGAAGTAATCCTATAATACACAACACACAACGTAAAATGATATACAATAAAATCTTATTGTTAAAAAAGAAAAGCAAGCGTGAGCGATAACCTTCTACGGCTGTTTTAGAACATGGTTTTCTTCATAGAGGATAATAAAACAATTGTGAAACAAGCGAAATAAAACCCGATTGCGAGACAAAACGACCGCTCTTTTCTTACAGAATCTTGCTTTATCTTATTAACTATTTTCCAGTATGACATCGCTTCCCCCAAAATACTGAATAAAAGTAAACCAAAGCACCTAATACTTCAAAGAACGCTGTTCCGCCAGTGAATAATACCTCGGCACGGTTGACCGAAAAAGTTGGATGACAAAATTAATGAAAGAAGCTGACATTTTCAAACCAATTTTGTTTATGTTATCTGAATCTTTAACTTTTAAAAATGGATAATTATAAATTAAAGCCAACACTGTTTAAAATTTTTTACATATATTTTATTATAATTTACCCTGTAAATATCGTGATCAAATATACAATATAAGTATTGCTTGTCCCTAATTTTTTTCAATATCGGGCAGAACATAATATTTAGTGCTTATAACTGAAAAACGCACCATTTAATTGATACTGTATGTATTAAAGAAAACACGTGTAGTAATGCTCCTTGAAAAAAAAAACGTTTTTCAATATCAGGCAATGCAATATAAACAGTGCTAGAAGCCAAAATACACAATGTTGAACGAATAATTCATAAACAAGTACAATGTAAGAGTATACGTAGTAAGGCTGCTACTACATCAACAACAGAAGCCCGTAAATTTTGGACTTCGCAAAAAATGTGCAAGGTTACAAGTAATGCTGTGCAATAAAAAACTTATCTCACGGCTTCAGGTAGTCTACATTCACAAAAAAAAAGAAAAAAAATGCTTTAACTGTAAAGTTGTAGAGATAGACCAGAATCCAGAGTTACAGATAAAAAGGAATGAAACTTTAAATTGCACTTTGTTTCTCTTTCATGCTCCTCTTCATCAATTCTCCATTTTAAAGCATATGTATAATCAAGCAGAACAAATGCCTACACCAAGGACGTAATACACGTCAAATGCATACCGGAACATTTATATAGCGTTTCTAAGAAATGTATCACGCTGTATAAATTCTGGGTAACAGATCCCAGGTTAAAACAAGGAGGCAGGGGTGAAGACAACATTGTGGTTCCCAACCTTCCAATAATAAAACCCTTTACACTGGACGGCGTCCTTTCTGCGTCCCGTTGAACGGCCCTATTTGAAGGTAAAAAAAATCAATAATACTTCACGTGCCGACAACTGGCCGACCATTAAGCATTCATTCTGCAACCAAAGCGATGCTTGTGCCTCCTTTTTACGACCACAGCGCTGCCAGTTTCATGGTCGCACAAAGGACGCCGTCCAGTGTAAAGGGAGTTTAACTGAAATGTGAAAAATAATTTTGTGGATCTAAGAACATGTCTTCCAACCCATTTCTATGCAGGGGTGGGGGGGGGGTGCACCCACCACCTTCCCTGGACCTGTCTGTGATACAATACATACACACACTTTTTCTTACTTGGTAGATTAAAAAAAAAGGCATTTACCCTTCAACGGCCTGAGTTTGTTCCTAAATTAAAAAGGAATAAAGAAATGGTTTTAAAGGCTAAATACACAAGGGAACTGCTTTGAATTCATATGCTAAAATTGCTAATGCTTGTGAATAATAAAAAATGCTTTTAAAATTCAATCAAGATTACAACTGAAACCTAATTTTGATTTTCATCTACATTTTTGAAAATGATTGTCAAAGAATGCTGCTTCAAATGTTTAACCATAATACTGTAGTGTAGGGCTTTTATCACTGAAAATATTCATTTTCCTTTCCATTGATTGACATTTCCATGGCAAACCATGTTCCACGACCTGCAAAAAAAATATATATATAATACAAATGAAATAATATAAAATAAATAATAATAACCCCTGGAATCCACAGCAGTAAAATGAGTATTACACAAATATTACAAAAATAAATGTCAAAATCAAATCTCCATAAGCTACTGCATGAACAATTCATCTGTGAATGGAAAAGTCTGAACAAAGGAAATTGTTTTTAAAAAATGCAACTTTAAATTCTTGCTGAAGCAGAAATGAAAATTCAGGTAAATAGCATGTTGGAAAAATATCAAGCCTGTGATAGTTCAAATGTTGATACTGTCAGCATCTCAATTTGGAAACCATCACTTACAGATACACTGGGCAAAAATATAAACACCCCATATGATCTGACTATGTAACATGCATTGGGCCACTGACAGTTATCAGTAGTACATTGAACAACAAAACAAACCTTTTCTGATTTAACACACACACACACATATGCACACACAGACAGAGGGTAGAAATTGCCATTTAGCATATTTCTCAAAAAAGATGTTTGGCCCCAAAAAGTCAAAAATTTGCCAATAGATGAAAAAAATTTCATTACTGTATATAGCCTATAATGTTGATAAAATACTTAAAGTATTGCCTGGGGCTTTCATATTTTTTTAGTGTATGTACAGAGTATTTACCATGCTGCACTTTGGATGGGCCAGTTAAGACAAACCCTGCCCGTGTGTACAGGGGAATATGCTTAGCACGGCATATCAGCAGTATCCGTAAAACTCCAGACTGGGTCTCTTTTACCCTGTAGATGAATTCTTTCAAAAGATGAAGAGCAATGCCCTGAAAAGAATCAACAAAAACATAGGGGCATGTGCGCCTGCTGTCTTTACAGATGTTGACAGTTTTCATTACTTTGTTAAATTCAAGTCAATATTACTGACAAAACTTATCAATACAATATAAATAAATGAGCTGCCTCATTTGCCTATTCTTTTCTGATATAACATGAGACAATGAACTCACTTCACTCACTTTAATTTTTTTTTCAATTTTACATCATTACTTTATCTTATGTCTTATTGTTTAAGCTTATATTGTACAATCACTTAACTAAGGGCATATTTTTTATTTGTTAACTATTACAAATCACCCACTTGTCTTCTTCTTTTCTCCCAGACAACCACAGAATGGATACAAACACTTGCTGAAAATGAACAAAAGACACTGAATCAGATGTT